CATATTTTCCTAGGTTGGTCACATGTAGTTCTGCTGCAATTGTGGGCAGCTCAATGACCAAATTATTTTAGAATATTTACAGGCCACTGTGGGAGTACAAAGGAAGCAAACACTTTGCCTCTCATGTCTGCCTGAGTATTTAGGTCACTCATGGGAAGTTGGTGACTTAAGAAAGTTTTCAAGGCTGAGTTCTATGTCAGAAGCTAAGGAGGACAGTAATTAAGAAAGAAAAAGGCTTTGTTAGGGTTGAAGCCAGAGGCAGTTTAAGATGCTTTATTAAGAGAAATAAGAAAAGGTCACAAAAGAGGATAACAAATTTAAGTAGAAGGATTTCCCTTAGTTGAGGAGGTCCCAAAGTTTGAAATGAATTCACTTCTTGAGAATGCACCTTTGTGATAATAGAAGCAGCACTTGAAGACACAGGTATTTGTTCTGTAATGTTCATGGGTTGGACGTTTCTAAACACCAGTAGGAAACATGGATATGCTAACTGCAGAGATGACAAGTACTCAGAGTGGAGGTTGTAAAGATTTCAGGGGAAAAAAGGGCTACTCTAAACTGGTGACAACTGTGCGCCTAAGAAAACTCCAGTTATTGGGAATGTTTAAGTAGATGGGAATCCTTGAGTCTACTTTCAAAATTAATCAAAACCTAAAAGACACCTATTGGCCATCAAAAATCTCTCAACATACTGTCCCCCTCCCCATTTTCCTGTAGGTTAAAAATTTTAAAAATCATTGTGATTTATCACTGAAACGATAGGAAAAAAAGAAATTACCTCAGGTGGTGTCATGGGTGGACACACAACTCTGAAGTGTTCATTTCCTTAGCAGAAAGCCCTATGCTGGCAGGGTGAGGGGTTGTGGCCACACACGGTGGGTCAGGTGGTGGCCTTCTAACTGCCGCTTAGAGATCACATCATCAGTGCAGACATGGGGCTGCCACACAGCAAGTGCTACCACTTTAGTGACTGGATGAGTGAACCATGCAAGTGATTTTGGTTTGGACAAATGAGGCCAGTTTTCATATCAATTTTTACTTGGAAGTTGTCAAGACTTTTTTTTGCACTGAGAATTCCTTTCTCAATATGGCTTATGTTAGTCGCTGAAGGACTAGGAAACGAAAGATAATTAACTTTCATTGAGTGCCTAAACTATGGTAGCATTTTGCCTGGTGTTTGTGTATTTAAGCTTTGTAACCATTTTGCTGTTGAAGAGATCAGAGAGCTTAAATAACTTGTCTATGGCTTTGCAGGGAGCAAGCATCAGAGCCAGGATTCAAGTCTAGGTCTCAGTGTACAGGGCCCATCCTCTGACTCTGCAGCTATTCCTTTGGCTTTTTGTTTCCAGAAAGCATGAAAGATGTAGAAAACATACAGATGAGCATGTGTGTGTGTGTGTGTGTGTGATAAAGATGGTGGTGTGGGGCAGCGAAACGCAAAAACTGTCTGCAGGATGTCATTTGGGGCTTTGAACTGCCCATCTGTAAGGCAACAGTGCTGGACTGGATACCTTGCAGTGGGGTGACCACATGTATGGCCCCAGTGTGCACCCATTGTCATGGCAACTCTACAAACACCCCTTCCCTTCTCAGAAGTGCCCCATTGTGGAGCAGGAGTTCTATGACTGGCCTATTCTAAGCTTCTCTGGCTCTTAAACTTCTGTGACTTCAAATTGAACATAACAGTATTTCTTTGATGATTGAAGGAATGAGCTTCATTTTCCAGGCTATAAGATGTAGGAATCGACAGCAACTTTTCTAGAGGTTACACTGCATTTTTTCTCCTAGAGCTCTCTGTAAACAGGGAAGGGTGAAGGGAGTGAAGGGAGGCCTGGGGAATGGTGAAAAATAAGACCAAGGTAAGTCATGTAAAGGTACAATATCCCAATGATGAATGTAACTGTACTGTATATGTAAAACTTAATAAAGATAAATAAATAAATAAATCATCTTCTATCTGATCTGGTTCCAGGGAATGTGGGAACGTGTCTACCTATTTGCCACTTACTGCGCATGCTTTCAGTCAGTCAGTGCTGACATTGTCTCAGTAATGCACACATTGATGCTATTGGATGGTCCTTACTTTGTAGCTATAGACACAGGGTAAAAATGACTTGCAAGAAAGGGATGGATCAAGATCTTCCTAGGTTCCTAACTATTGCACTATGCTGAGATAATGTGGACACAGTACACACATACAGGGCAGATAGTTTAAGAAATTATCAGACTTCCTAAATTCCCCATGGCTTTTCCAGGATTTCTCAATGTCTGCTCTGGTCTCCGTGGCTTCCATTACCCATTTTACAGACAGAGATGCAGGTTTTCAGGAAATCAGACAAGAAGAGATGAGCAAAGAGGTATTGAATGTTTACTTGTGTGGATCTCTGCAGTCTTTTTTTGGTTATATGTTTTGCTTTTTACTTTTTCTTTACCAAAATGGAAAACAAGCAATTGCTTTTTAATTCATATTTACATAGACAACACTTAAAGAAAAACCACCACTTGACACTGTATCATTCTGCTTTTATTTATTGTCTGGCTAACTTACAAAGACGTAGATGTCTAGGGTAGATTCTACCCTACCATTTAAACTATGCTGATGACACAGATACCAAGATGTGTCTGTTTACACAGTGCAATGGTATGAAAAATATTTTTCTTCTCCTTCTACAGTCCTTTACTATAAACAGAGAAAAATTAATTTCATACCAAAATGTTAGGGCACTTTAATAACCATTTCATTTCTGCTACTAAAATAACAAAATTGGCATTACAAGTTAAAATATAAAGGCCTGCTTTTACAAATATGCAAATAATCTGCTACTTAAACATAAAAAGTTTATTTCAAATCACTAAGTAAGGCACCATTGGATTAAATATTTTTCTTGGCTTTTGCTAAATAAAATGCATAGTGAAATAAATATAGAACATTGAATTTTAATACTGTAATACATTTCAATATAAAATGATATGTGAATGTTAAAATACTGTATCGCCTCTTGAATATATTTATTTGTAAATCTTATGGAAAAACAGGTGAGCTCTCATTTCAAGGGAAGAAAATGCTCATTTTTATGATCTGCCATGGTTAAAGATTTTAGTATAGAACTTGTTCAAAGTTGTGGATGTAATTAGTTGCTAACTTTCAAAGAAAGGGTGTAGGTGTATTCATGAAACATTCCCTTAAATATATTCTGAAAACATCTCTATTCTGGATGAAAGGCAACTTTGAGCTGTTACTCTATTTCATACTTTAAAAAGATACCGGCAAAGATGAGATATACAAAGACTTGTCCAATTCCCTCTACAAATTTTACCCTTTACAAAATGCAGAACTGCTTTCTTTGGGTCAGACTTTTCTCTGTCACTTGTTAGGAAGGTCCAATGCTATCTTTTGTGACCTGGGTCATTAGGCTTTATCATACAGGTATCAGTCACTGTTGACTCAGGACAAAGAATCCAAAATAAAATCGTGCTGCCAAATTACCAAATTAGGAATAACAACAACAAAAAATTTTGGCCAAGCTTGTTATATACCTTTATATTTCTTGATTCTCGCTGAGTAACAGCCCCAAGTGACTATAGCCATAAGATAGAAGAATGGCAGTGGAGGGGACGAAAACAAGTTCTCTAATGTACTAAGCCCAGGACTATGGCAAGGGCAGTTATAAAAGTACAATAGATTCAAATTGGTAACTTCATAATTTATTAGACATTCCACTTATTAGAACTCTTAAGTTCTACTTTTATATAAATGAAACAGTTATTTATTCTATAAATAGGAATGCATCCTTCAAACTTTTCTTTGGAATGATTTCTTATTAGTATCACCCAGTAATATATGAACCATACACTAAATTCAATAAACTGATACAAAGTTTAGGTAGATATACATATACACGTGTTGTCATGTGCTTTTAAAAAATGAGTAATGGCAATTTTAAACATAACCATATACAACATCAAAGTGGAAATATTTTTTCCAACTCTATAGCTAGATTTAAAAGTCCCAGTAAAATTTTGTAAACAAAATCACATTTTAAAAAGGCAAGGTTGGCTCCTCCTCCTGGTCCTTTAATGGAGCTTTATTTGCATAGATCTAAATTAAATGATTCTATTGGTTAGATTCAAAGTTACCCCCTAATTCTAGTAGAAAGTTCTCTAATTCAGTCAACCCCATAAGCATCAGATTTAGATTTTTAGAGTTTTGCCCATCAACTCAAATCTGTTATGCACTTTTGTGCTTGTCTCCATACCTTTCTCTTTTCTTGCCTCCCACCTACTTAGCCTCCCTAGCCTATCATGGCACTGAGGAGCTTGCTCAGTGGGGGTGGGGGATGGCGACAAAGGCCACTTCAGATCTGCAAGGCAGGCATCCGACTGACAAGTGAGAGCACAAGGCAGCTGGTGCTGAGCCTGGAAGCCCCAAATGGCTTTCAGTTTCTTTCCAATGGCTTTATTCCATGTCAATGTAAACCGTGTAAGATCAATTTCTGACCTTGATAACTGTGAAGCAACACTTGTACACAGACATGAAGGGAAGAAGAAAAAGAAGGAACCAAAATCTAGGGTCAAGCTGCCAGCCAAATAAAGTGTTGGGTCCTAACTTTATTTTTAGGTATGTGTTGAATTGCTAAAGCTCATCTTAGCTATTTTTGCTTTTTAAACAAGAGGTTTTTGAACTAACTTTCATCTTCCTGACTTGTGTTGCCCAACAGACTGGCCACTCAGCACATGTGGACACTGACCACTTGCCATGTAACTAGTCCGAATGGAGATGTGCTCTAAGCAGAGAATGCACACTGGGTCTGGAGGACTTGGTACCAAAAAGAATGTAAAATATCTCATTTATAATTCTTATATGGGTTAGAGGCTGAAATGATGTTTTGGATGTATAGATCTAAGGGAAATATATTAAAATTAATTCTTGTGTTTCTTTTTACCTTTGCAAAAATGTGCCTAGTGGAAAATTTAAAACGGTATACAAGACTGACATTGTATTTCTATTAGACAGCTCTGTTCTCCAGCCTACATCAGAATGCCCAAGACTGGGCATCCTGTAACTGCAAAAGCTTTGTGTGAGCCCTTGATCAACAATGTGTCTTAGCCATCTGTGGTTCATGGAAACAGACTCACAGGAGGCCAAGCACATGAAAAAAGCATAGGCAATAACAGCTCTTGGGGACTTTCATAATTATAGCCTGTCACAAATGCAGTGAAGGTTTGGTTGAGGGCTGGGACACAATGAGTCTCTGCTTATTTGCACAAAAGCATATGGATCCCAAAGCCAACACGGGCAGGCTGTAGCTGAAGCAAGCGATAGCTGTGAAAATATACAGGACACAAAAAGCTAGGTGCATTTCTGTACTGGATCCTCACCTCCTCACACAGAAATTCCCCTCACCCTCTCTTCTTTCTTCCTGCCATAAATGAAGAGGACCAGGGAAGGGGGAGGAAGGTGTGCGATTCTCAGACAGCAACAACAGAAGGTGCTCTGGAGTCTGGAGAGAGAAGAGCAGGCAGAGATCACCTCGGAATGGGAGGAAGGGGTGGGGCACCCCTTTCTCTTCGGTTGGATCCACCTTGATGAAAAAAGACAGAATATAATTTTGATTAGAAAGCTTACATTCTTTTTTTAAAGTCTTATTGAGTTTATTGATACTTTTTAAGTATACAGTACAGTTACATTCATCACTGGGATCTTGTTCCCTTACATGACAGGTCTTGGTAGAAAGCTTATATTCTTACGTGGAAACTAGGGATTCTTACTGTGGAAATTAGCAGAGTACTTGTGGCAGTTTCCTGCCATAAATGAAGAGGGAAACTTGCAAAGTACCCACTGCTTCAACCCTTCTGACCAAGGCTGAGGCATTCGTGGATGAGGAAGGGTGAACACAGAATGATGGGAATAAAAGCTACCAGACGGTGACCACCACTCACTACTGACAAGGTGCACAGCAGTCAGCAAAAACACATGCTTTTCTTACCACCTCGTATGTTGATTATAAATTTAGAAAATAAGAACAAAAACAAAAGAAATTCCCCCATGCTTGCACCACCCAGAGATAACCAATAGCAATTATGTGTATATTTACCCCTTAGAAAGTTAGATCCTTTTTCTTCTAGAAATAGTATCACACAACATCCAAAGTCAATACTCTTTACAAATATGACTATTAATGATGCCTTGCCTTCTACTATATAGAACTATACTGTAATTTATCTAATTCATCACTTCTCCTGTTGGATAAGGTATGTTATCCAACATTATAGTTTTATTTAACTTCCCTAATGATTAGTGATGTTGAGCCTCTTCATGTGCTTATTGGCCATTTGTATACTTTCTTCAGAGAAATGTCTATTCAGGTATTCATTGTTTAGTAGGTATTTTTGTTACTGTTTAGTTGTAGGAATTCTTCATATACTCTGAATATTAACCCCTTATCAAATATTTCCTCCCATTCTGTGGGTTTCATTTCACTCTATTGATGTGTTCTTTGTCAAGCTACGCACCTTCATGGGTATCAGTGCATTTCAAACCAGGTCTAAAATCGATTCACATTCTGAGGTGGTAACAGGTGTGAGGCATGAAGCCAGGGTTCCCAGAGGTCTGCTCTGGCCACTTCTCTGAGATTCATGGGGCAGGTGAGGGGGTTCTTTGGCAGGCATCTTGACAGTGACCCTGCAGACTAAGGGACTTCCGAGACAGGAGCAAATCTCTGAGCAAGAGGAGATTCAGGAAAACACTGGGAGTCCACTGTGTTGTCAGTTCCTCTCACCATCCCAGCCCAGTCTTTTCTTCAGCAGGGCCATGACATATCTGAATAGACTTATCTGAGTAGAAACCAGCTTTCTATCATGCAGTCTTGATCGTCAACTGACACACCCACCGCAAGTGTTCAGCGAAATAAGAGCCCGCCTTGTCTGGTGGCACTCACAGTGTGCTCTACCATGTCATGGCTGCCTGGGTGCTCCACCAGGCTCTCATCTTTCACACTGAGGCAGTTACAGGAGCAGAATAAAACTTGGTACTTGACAGTATCTTATTTACTTTTGTTAGATGATCTGTTATCTAAAGCAAAACTGCAAAAAACATTTTGGGGGCAGTGGAAATTTACTAGTTTAAAAATATTTTAAAATGCTTGTTACATGTCAAGCAGGGAAGATACAACAGTGAACAGGGCATTGTTCTAGCTCTCAAGTTCATTTCAGTCTTAAGCCAGATATCATGGTGCACACTTGTAATTCCAGCAGTCTGGAAGGCTGAGATAGGAGGACTGCAGATTCAAGCCCAACCTGGGCAATTTAGCAATTTAGGGAGACCCTTGGAACAAACAAATTTTAAAAAGGGCTGAAGACATAGCTTAGTGTGAAGGCCCTGGGTCTGACACCAAATACAGAAAGGAAAGAAAGAAATGTGTTCAGCTATAAAATTAAAACTTTAGAGGGTATGGAGAAGATGGTTCTGTTACTGACTAAAAATGCAAATAATTTAAAAATTAGATTATAAATACCTATCATGAGTGTGGGAAAATATTTAGAATCTATATGAACTTAAAGAGAACTCAGTCATTAGTGCCCAAGACAGAAGGAAAGCACGTTATATTCTTATCAGACACAAGCCACTTTCTGATGAAGACACATAAAACACTCCAAAGACTATCTGTTCTACACAAAAACTTACTTTTCTTTTTTGGTACTGGGGATCCTGTGCTTGCAAGGCAGGTGCGGGTACCACTGAGCTAAATCCCTGGCTAAAAAACTTACTTTTCATCAAAAATTTTGACCACTAATTCTTGTTTTGTCTTTTTGGGACAGTCTCATTGCAACTAAATGAATTTTCCTAGGAATTAAAGGAAGTAGCAATGTTCTGTTTCCTTCTGGAATTTGTTTATAGAAATTTCCCCCAAATAATTTTTAACTCTTTGAATTCTTCAACAGAGTCACAAAGTGCAATGTGACTCACTGGTGTTGTCCTGTGCTTTTCCTTGTGGTACAGCTCTGTGTCCCTAACCCTCCTTTGACCCGAGACTGACATCAATATCGGTTCTCTCCAGGATCAGTGTTTTTTGTTTTTTGTTTTTTGGTACCGGGGATCTCAGGTCCTTGTGATGGCGAAGCAGGCCACCAAACTGCTAAGCTAAATCCCCGGCCTGGGGTCAGTGTTTTTGATTCTAATCATCCTTAGCTTCGGCTGATATTAACCTGCTCTCAGACTGGGAGCCACCAGCAAAAACTGTTTCAGAACTGTGTGTTCAGACAGAATCAGAGGATGTGTAAGGTGCTCTGCTGGAGGGTAAGGATGTGGCTAGGGACTCTGCGTCAGTTATTTGATTCACTTAGTCTGGGTCTGGGGCTAAGACTGCTATAAGTATGAGCCTCATGAATGCTCTTTGTATACTTCATGCTAATTATTTTTTTGTCCTGTACATTCCTGTTGTGAAATTGCAGTATGTGTGTTTCCTTTTTTTGTTCACATTTATTCTTGAATGGGGAAAGTGATTTCCTTCTTTATGACATTATTACACATATCAAATAACCAGAAAAAATCTAAATGGGCAGGAATGTTAAATTATTGTCATGCTGAGTTGATGGACTCCTCTGAAATAAAATACCATGTGATAAAATGCAAAGTGTTTAATAAGCAATATTCTGTAAATCTTCCCACCAGAAAACTATACACTGTCATTGTAACTATAGAAAAAAATCTGCATTATATGGATAAGTTTTTTTTTTTGAGACAGGGGCTTGCCATATAGTCCAAGCTGGCCTTGAACTCAATATGTAGCCAAGGCTAGCTTGAAATTAACAGTGATCCTCCTGCCTCAGCCTCCCCAGCACCGGGATTAAAGGTGAACACTACCACACCTAGCTGAATTGTATGGATAAGAATAGAAGAGAGCCTGGTAAAATCTGTTTTTTTGGAGAAATTGAGGATATATTTAACATTTACACAGAATGCTACATAAGGCTATGGTTATAATACATTTAAAAGATCAAGGCAGTTATATTAAGTTTTGTGACAATTAATAAGACATTCTGCCAGTCTCAAAACTAGTAGGAATAAAGATGGCTCTACTTTTGCTGTCTCAGAAGATCAAAATGGGGGAAGATTGTTCACATTAGCATAGTTGCCCATGCTAGCTTTAAACTTGTGATCTTCCTGCCTTGGCCTCCTACAGTGTTAGGATTACAGGTGCGTGCTACCACGCCCAGCAAAAATAATAGTTTCTCATCTACACTGTGTGCATCTCCAATCTCTTCACTGCACATGGAAGGGAAATTTGCCAGGATTTAGATAACTCCACATGGGGTTCTCTACCTGATCCAGGCAAGAAGCCTGTACTCCTAAACATCTTGAGCAAGGTTATTCAAGTACAAATCTCTTGAAATCCCTGGCAGAAATACTCACTCCGGCTTTCGTTTCTTGCCAATTTGCTGGGATAACTTTTGGTCGTTGGTACATATGGCTCTGGAGGTGGCAAATCAGATATTGGATGGAAGTAAAATCTGCTTTCCCACTCATCTAGGAGAGAAACAAACAGTATGTTCAGCACAGGCAATCTGCTATCAAGACTTATGTAATGAAAGGCACAGAAGAATGAAATACAGACAGAACTGCAGAAACCAGTTCTAGCTATGCCTTCAGAAAAGCTGGAAACACTACAAATGTCAGTGACTGCTGCACTGATACAGTGTACTGGTAAAATCAAAGTGGTTTTCCCCCCAGTGCTGCAGATTGAACACAGAAGTGGTTAGGACCCAGCCAGTCCCTCCAGAGCGAACATGTGGGAGACCTTCCTTCTCCGCAGTGGGCCCCAGGATGACTGGAACCACTCTGACAACACAGCAGAGGGAAGCAGCTCTGTATCTGCAGGTGGTTGAGTCCCTTACCTACAGCCAACTTTTTAGGGATATAGATAAGAAGAAGGTAAACTGCAAAAATGTTCTTTCTAGAATTCTAGACTCTCTGGAAAGTTAAACAAAATGAGACTTAAACAAAGAACAAGTCAAAAAACCACCTGCCTTTGTGGCAATGGGAGGAGGGGTTGCTACTTTTCTTTATTTTTTATTTTTTGTTTGGTAGCAGGGATCAAACTCGGGACCTTGCGCTTGCGAGGCAGGGGGCCACAGCACCACTGAGCTAAATCCCTGGCCAGGGGTTGCTATTTTTAACTTGAAGTCTGAGCAGACTCTCAAATAATTGGTTAGATCAGTCATAGCAACTAGGGAAGTAGAAATGCTAATTCCGCCGGCCGTGCACGCTCTACTCACCTTCACCTGAATTGTCTTGGAAGCCATTTCTAATTGATGCTGATGGTGGAGGTGGAGGCAGTGCCCCAGTGCTAGGCCTATCTGGAGGAAGAGGAGGCCTGGGCCCGCTCCTGGGACCATCTACTCCACTCCTGGAGGGCAATTGAGGGGTGGCAGGCAGGGCCCGGTTTGTGCTGCCATTTCTGTTCACTGGCGGTGGTGGTGGGAGGGGCCCTGGGGCAAAGGAAAGGATGACATTTACTGTATATCCCACACTGCCATTGTGGTCATCAGTGTGTAACTACTGAGTGCCTGCTGGGTACTCAGCCTTTCTCTAGGGAATGTGGAGACTTTCCAGGACATGGAAATGACTGCACATATAAACAGGAGTGGCTGAGTGCCTTTTGAGTTAGCATGGAGGCCGGAGATGCTACATTGAAATTGAAAACAGGTGATAATCTGTTTATACCAACAACCATATAGTTTAAAAAAAAAACATTCATAATCCTTTAAAAGAGATATTGAACCTCATTAGTGTGACATCCTGATTTTTTTAAAGAGTAAGACAGTCATGAAGTTGTTTTAGACTTCAGAAGAATGCATTCTTTGATGGAACAGCCTTACTGCTAATTGTGCACACACGTTTCTGTGATGCACATGAGCTGCTTCCACGCAGAAGTGGCGTCAAGAGACCAAACACAAGTCATCCTGAAAGCAGGAGTTCCCCCCTGGTTCTTCCTGCAGGGGAGGCAGATGAGCACAGGGAGTGACAAATCACTAATCAATATCTGCAGCTGTAGATGCGGTGGGGGTCCCGGCCCTAAGCAAGCTGCTGCTTGGTGGACCTTGGTCCCTGTCTACAATGGGTATCAGATAGTCACCTTTCTCAGAGTGCTGTTGCCAGGAGTAATAGGCCAGAAAATAAGTTAAAAGTACTACAGAAGTATTAGAAACCATTTTTTAAAAATGCAGTGCTGTGGTATAACCAGTTACCAGAAAAAAATTCAAAGTAAATTAAAAAAAAAAAAGAATACAGAAGAAACCCATGTTGCTTTTCCCTTTCTCCATTGCAGAAGCTATTTGGGTATTGAGTTAAATTAAAAATCAATCAATCAATCAAGCATTTTCTCATGTAAATCCAAAGGACCTTAGTAATTATTCCTGGTCTTCAGCGGTGTGCTCCACTTGTAACATGCTGGCGTTTCATGTAAACACAGTGTCGGATGGCACCTAAAAACAATATTACCTATAGATTCAGAATCCAATTAAAAGACTTTAAATGGAACAACCTGCCCATTGCAGATCTGCCTGACAAGTCTTGGCTCCAACACTTGAGGGGGTGGGAGGCACTTCCCAGAGCTGACGTCTCCAGGAGACATCGTGTCTTGCAGTATTTACTGCCCCTTCTCTTCATCCCTGCCGGAATCTGGGGCAGCAACACTGGATTTACAGGTGGAAATGAGTCTTGTGCACTGAGTTTAATGTCACTTGTAATAGATTATCTCCACCTAACTGTCACTAAATGCTAACTGCGCTTGCAAGGCAGGCCACTGAACTGCTGAGCTAAATCCCTGGCCCCATTTTTGTTTTTAAAGTAAATGTTCAAGTGTCTTACTCTCTAACCTCATGGGCCCAGCTCCACACTCAGTCTGGCACAACAGAATACAGGTTTCTATTTCTTATTGGCAGAATAATAATAAATATGATTATTGAATTATATAACTACACGCAGAAAGCAAAATACACACTTGTATCATTCAGTTTTTATAATAATCCTGAGTACAGGGCCAGCAGACAAGGCTTCTGAGGTATCTGAAGCTTAAAATATCCAAGTCAGGAAGTTAATGAATGGAAGAGACTGGATTTAACTACAAATCCATCAAATTCTAAAGCCACTCCCCTAACAATGAAGCCAAAGCACATTTCAAAATATAGATGGCCCTTGACATGTAAATGGTAGGACAGTTCTGAAAGGCAATTTGGCAGTTCCTATGAAATCCATAGTTTTGCTATGTATAATCTCTGACTCAGAAATACTGTCTCTAGGAATTCATTCAAAGGAAACCCAGAGTTGTGCACAAATATTTAGCAGCCAGGATGTATCACTGCATTATCTGCAATAGCCCAAACCTAGAGACAGCCTATATAACCAAGGGAGGGGACTGGTTAAAGAAATGAAGGTACATTTGTAGAACCTAATATTACACAGTCATTAAAAATTAAATTGTAGAAGAGTATTTAATCATATCAGAAAGTTTATGAGATACTGTTAAATACAAAGCAAGTTACACAGTATATTTAGTGATATGAATGTTACAAATGTATGTATTCGTAAACAGATTGAAAAGATATGTGAGATGTTAAAAAGATGTGTAAAAAGACGTGCAAAGATGTTATCAATGATTGTGTCTGGATAGCGATGGTAGAACTAGAATGATTTTATTTTCTGTATGTGTCTCTCCATTTCTAAATGAAACAGATATGACTTATTTAATCCAAAGAAAGAATACATGATATATGTCACTGCCTATAATATTTTAGGGAAGATTTACTATTCTCATCCATCCTTTTGGTAGTCATGTAAAAAGGTCCTCCACCACTTTGTGGGAAAATTTCTACATACTCGATGAAAAGAAATACATTATATTTCATTCACCTGAATACCCAATCTCATTTGTTCACTGAAGAAACCTTAAGGAGAGGCCACAATATGTCTATGGACTGGATTTAGTGGACTAGTAAGTTTTTACTATTTGTAGTCCATCCTCTGTGGCACAGTTGCTTGAAGGAGCAGTTCTCAAACTCTGCTGTACATTACTAACACTGGGGAACCTTCAATACCCTGACACCTAGTCTGCCTCCCAGACCAGTTCTACCAGAAACCCCCAGGAAGGAGCCCAGGCTCCACGGTATTTCTAGGATGTGATTAAGTCTGAGGACCACTGATTTAAAGAATGGTGTTTATTAGGTTCCTAGAGTCAAAGGTCAGTTAACTTCTAAAGAAAAAATGCTCCATTTCTAGATATGACGAGGTATTCAAGATGTGGGGGAATTTGAAAAGTAGATGGTTGTATTAAGTCCATCAATAATGACTGTAAAAACAATATATAGGACACACATGTGTAAATACTGAATAGTTTCTCTGGTGTGAAAAACTAAAGTGTAAATAAGGGTCAAATTGTGTAATTGGTAATGTGAACTAGGAAGAAAGGAGCTAAGGGGAGGTGGGAAGGGTAGGGGAAATAAAAGGAAAAAGGAAAAATATGAGAAAAGGAAAACATGGAAACAAAATCTTTGTAAATAGGGAAGGGTGAAGGGTGTGAAGGGAGAAAAGGGGAATGGGGGAAAATAAGATCCATCATGTAAAGGTACCAGATCCCAATGATGAATGTAACTACTGTACACCTGAAATGGACCAACAGACTTAACCGGGGTGGGGGGGATAAAGTCTGCTAAAAGTGCTTATTAGGAGAAAGCACACACTATGAAATCCTCACATTTCATTTCATACTCCGAGAGCTCTTCCCTTAGACATGTTTTTCAGCCTGGGCTGGGGCACAGATGGGCCTGTCAAGCCATAAAATAACATGCAGGGTTATTTTGTTGTTTCCCCAGTGCAGGAGATCCAATGCAGAGCCTCAAGCATGCAAGGTCAAGGGCTCTACCTCTGAGCTACATCCCTAGGCCAACATACAAATTTTCATTTTAGGACTATGAGCATTTTTATAAAGAGAAGGTCTATAGACTATACCTTTGGTTTATGGAGAGATTTATGTGCCAGAGGTGTTAACAAAGAACAGAATGGATTTTAAACCCTTGTATTTAATAAGCAGGGAAGTGGTCTCAAGGTCTGGCAAACACAGAGGTACAGAAGTTCGTTTGTTCTGACATAACTGCCCTTCTTGCTGGAACAGTAAGCCCTCCTGCAGAAGATGAGAACTGATTCCCAAGGAGGGCAGCTAAACTGGCTTTAGACAGTGCAGAGATGGAAGATAAAAGTCCCAGCTGTTGGTTGTTAATTTGCTTGTGCCTGGTTACCTGATGCGAACTGAAACCTCAGAGGTTTACAGTCAGTCACAGGGGCACAGCACACCAATGTCACTTCAAGGTGTGAGGCAGTGTGAGGGTCTGTTTATGCTTCGTTTGCATGCAAGACCAGATTATGGGTGACTTTGGGGGCGCTGGGTTTAACTCACCCGATCTGCCCGGTGGGTCCCTCACCGGAGGAGGGGGTCTCTCGCTGGGCGGGGGAGGCAAGGGGCCCGACCGGCCCGGTGACTGTAAGGGAGGCGCGGACGAGGTGAGGGACAAGTTCCGTTGCGGAAGCCTGGGGATCTCGTCGGCGCCACCGGAGCCCCCCG